CCCACAGTGCCAGTAAGGAAGGAAGTGCTAGAGAAAAAGTCAACAGCTGGGCGCGTCAGCAGAATGCCAGCAACAACGCGAGTGTGCTCCCAGTGGCCACAGCTGGACGCCTCCAGCCTAGTTCCCTGTGACGAAAGGACGTTAGCCTGTCACACACCGGCATTCCCTGTGACGCAGGGATGTTAGCCTGTCACACACCGGCGTTCCCTGTGATGCACGGATGTTAGCCTATAACACACAGGTGTTCCCGGTGACGCACGGATGTTAGCCTGTCACACACCGGCGTTCCCTGTGATGCACGGACGTTAGCCTATAACACACAGGTGTTCCCTGTGATGCACGGATGTTAGCCTATAACACACAGGTGTTCCCTGTGATGCACGGTCACACACCGGTGTTCCCTGTGATGCACAGAAGTTAGCCTGTCGCACACTGGCGTTCCCTGTGACACACGGATGTTAGCCTATAACACACAGGTGTTCCCTGTGATGCACGGATGTTAGCCTGTCGCACACCAGCGTTCCCTGTGACGCACGGATGTTAGCCTATAACACACAGGTGTTCCCTGTGATGCACAGATGTTAGCCTGTCGCACACCGACGTTCCCTGTGATGCACGGATGTTCATTTCTACACACTGATGTTCCCTGTGACACACTGATGTTACCACGCGGATGTGCATTTCCTCGTGCCAGCACACACACAGTCTGAGCGCTAGGGAGAGGCTGGGTGAAGGTGCTGGGGTCTCTTTCCAGGCACACCCCCTTCTCCTGCCCCTCACTTTACTTGATTTCACTTCATCGAGCCTCACAAATCTTCCATGTCTTACAGCCCTACGTTGACAAGCATCACTGATGGCACCATTTTCCAAGAGCATGTACTTGCTTTCTGTGCCATTTTTCATATTTCTGCAACATTTCAGACTTTGCTGTAATGCTACGGCACACCTGTTGTGCCTCCAAGCCCTAGTCTCCTGGTCGCAATTCCACCCTCCACTGGGATTCATGCCCGTCTATCTCCATGGAACAGCTGGTGGCAGGCAGCTGGTGGACTCCTTCAGTAGACTATGGCTTGGTGCAAACACGAGTTTTATGTGCACTAGGAAATCAAAAGGCAGCGTGACCAGATGATCGCTTTCTCAGGCTCACTCTGGACCCTTCGATGTTTGTGAGGTCTGATGGCACGATCTGTGGGATGACTTTGCTATTAACCTAAAATTACTCCAAACAGGACGTTTATTTCAAGAACTGACAGTGCTGCTCTCGACCTGGCCCACCCTTCTCATCTTCCTGGTGGCATAGAGTGACCAGCACCCTATTCCCTGTCCTCAGGCAAGAGGACACACAGCAAAGGGTGTCCTGTTCCCTGTCCTCCGGCGAGGGGACACACAGCAAGGGGAATCTGTTTAACTGGGAAAGGCTAAACAAGCTCTGAGTCTACAAGATGTCAGATGTTTGGAGTCTGTCCACACTCGAGCAGCTAACCGAGCAGAAAAGATTTTCAGACCCGTCATTCTGCATCTCAAGTTCAGCATAATGGTACATCTGGGTTACTATGGCAACTGCCCCATCTTTGCCTATCTGTCAGAGAATAAGCAGAAGGGGTTATTGGCACACAGTGAACAAGCCTAGAACTACACAATCCAGCCCTGGGAGGAGGGTGTGAGGCTGAGGCATCTGTCTGGCCTCAGCGTTCATTGTTGTTGTTAGGTGTCATCAAGTCATCTCTGACCCATAGCGACCCCAGGAGCACCAGATCTGGCCCCGGCCCTCACTGTGCCTTTGTCAGGAGTCCATCCTGCTCGTGCCATTGTGGTAGCCTCTGTGTCAGTCAATCCCGGTGGGAAGGAAGCGTGGTCATTACTGGCCTCTGAATTGAGCGGTGGTGACAGGAAGGGAGAGCACGGGTAGATTGTTCCTGTTCCCTCAGTGAAAGACGAGACCAACACCCTTGCTTCTCCTGGGAAGACGTGTCCCGGGAGCACAGAACTAGAAGTCCAGCACACGACTTGAAACAAGAAGAGGGAAAACAGCTCTTGGAATAAGTAGAAAAAGCCCGAGATGCCCAGTATGTGCAGGACAGTAGCCTGTGGGTGTGGGGGGCTGAGTGACAGCCAGGCAGCCAGTCCCCAGGAATTCCTCACTGAGATGCCAGCCCCCGCTGAGACAGTGGCACAGCTTGATGTCAAGAGAAATTCGCAAGCACAGGAGGATAAAAATCTCCCCCAACAGCAGTTTTCCCCTTGGTATAACACAGTCGCTTTTGATCTGCACAGAAGACAGCAGACCCACTCTGATCTCTCTCTCCTCTGGAAGCCCTATGTCTTCTGTTGTTGTCTGCAGGACTCTGATAGGTCTGATATCTTGGCTCCCCATATGGCCGTGGGAGGAAGGGGAAGCGTGGTCACCATTCAGGCATCTCAGGGAGAGGCCACAGGAGCACCTGGGAACCGTCACATGAAATATCCCTGGTGGTGTGACGTGTTGTGTGTCAGGCTGATATCTGAACGGTCAGGGTTCAGACCCATGGGCCTCTCGGGGAAGGACGAGCAGTCCCCTCCCTCCTGTAAAGTGTGCAGTCTGGAATGGGGGCCACTGAGGGCCGGGATCACCCCTGGGGGTGTAGACAGGGTGGACGTGGTTGAGAGGGTCACCAGCTGCAGCGCCATGTGTTGACCGGCTCCCAGCCTCACTCTGTGCGGAGACGTTGGGTCTTGAACCGCTGGCATTCTGAGAAGCCAGTCGTGTTGTTGTGCGTGGAGCAGCAGGTACATCTGCTGAGCCCTGTGGAGTCTGGGGAGCAGTCCTGCCTTTGGGAAGCCTGGCCACGCCTGGTGAAGCTCACTACCTCCATCCTGTCCTACTCACAGCCCCCACAGCGTGGAGTGGAGCTGACCCACTGGGCTTACGGCATAGGTGGCCTCATCGTCCTCTGTCAAAAAGGCCGCTGGGCCCGAACCACAGACCTTTCAGTTCATGGCTGAATGCTCGGTCTACAGGTTAAATGCTGCTGAAGAGGAGGAGGAAGGTCCCGTGGGGTGCAGGTAACAGCTGGGCAAGGGGTGCTGGGTGAGCAGGACCAGACCTCCTGGCAGCCACCTCATCTCAATAACGTGAGCAGGGACGCTCTGCCTGGTGCCCACCGGGCAAGGCCCTGGGACCCCTGTGAAGTGAGGGCATCGGCCTGCCCCTCCTGCACTGGTCCTGTCCAGTTCTTGTGTCCTGTATGGACGTGTGTCCTGTCCAGTTCTTGTGCCCTGCCCAGTACATGTGTCTTGTCTGGTACATGAACCTTGTCCAGTACTTGTCCTATTGGACACGTGTGTCCTGTCCAGCACGAGTGTCCTGTCCAGTACGTGTGTCCTGTATGGATGTGTGTCCTATCCAGCATGTGTGCCCTATCCAGCATGTGTGTCTTGTCCAGGACTTGTGTCCTGTCCAGTATGTGTGTCCTGCCCAGCACATGTATCCTGTCCAGTACATGTGTCATGTCCAGTACTTGCCCTGTCTGGCATGTGTGTCTGTCCAGTACGTGTGTCAGGTCCAGCATGTGTGTCCTGTCCGGTACTTGTCCTATAAAGGCACATGTGTCCTGTCCAGTATGTGTGTCCTGTCCAGGATGTGTGTCCTGTTTGGCACATGTGTTCTATCCGGCATGTGTGTCCTGTCTGGCACGTGTGTGTCCTGTCCAGTACTTGTCCTCCCTTGCATTTGACCCGCCTGGTACTTGTCCATACTTGTGTCCTGTCTGGCGATATCATCTTGCGCAGCTTGTTCACCAGCTACTACCATCAGCCCACCTTCAGATTATTGACCGCGGGTCCAGCAAGGGCGATGCCAGCGTGGGGATCTGGGCACAGCACATCACTGAGCTCCCTGTGTTTCCAAGGCTCCTTCTGGGAACGCCTTCAGCTGTCCTACCACATTGGCAGAGTCCACGCTGAGGCGACAACTGACAGGCTCAGCCCTTCAACAAAAGGTCGAGGTTTGAGGCCGCTCAGAGGTTCCTGGGAAGAAAGGCTGGTGATCGGCTGTGACGACTCAGCCACAGAAAAGCCAGGGCAGAGCCCTGGTGACATGAGTCAGCCTCGTTGGAGCCGACCTGGTGCTGAAACGGCCACCCAGACGCCAGGCCCTCACGGCAAACGTTGTCCCCTGAGACCACTCCATCCCTGCCCCGCCAGGGTCAGCCCCGGTCTGCATCAGTGCCCTGACCTTCCTGGACGCTGCTCTGAGACACTCTGCAGGTCTCCCCGTCAGACTCCAGCCTGACCTGCTGACCACTGTTCTCAACCCTCCTCCTGCCCTAACACCCCGTGGAGCTCCCCGAAGGCTGGTTTCTCCCGTGAGACCCAAGTGCCACAGGACCCAGTCACCACCTGCAGTGTCCCAGCGTGCCCTGGGAGTGTCCCCCAGCCAGTGGCTGCTCTGACATGGACACTGGGCAGTCAGGAACACACTGTCCCACAGAGACAGAAGGCCCCCTGGTAGCAGAGCTGGCCTCTGTGAGCAGGACGAACGTTCAGACTGGACACAGCTCCTGATGAGGTCTGGGACTTGCCTTTGGGGCCTGGCCTGAACAGACGCTCAGAGGACAGTCTGATACCCGGAGTCCACATGGGGCGCTCTTCCTCTCCTCAGCCAGCCCACCAGCTGCCTCAAGACCACGGCCGAGGCCACTTGGATCTGGTGCGCTGTGCCCACAACCCCCCCGTGGCTATTCCCTGTCACCCGTCATGACTACTCCCCACAGGACGGTCAAAATCCCATCGGTCATCACGATCACCCCCACAGGACCTTGTCCCTCACCCCTCATCGTGACTGTCCTCCACGGGAGGACTGAAACCTGTCCTGATCAAGGCTATCCCCCACTCCCCATCATGGCCCTCTCTGTCCCTTGCCATGACTGTCCCTTGCAGAAAGATGGAAGCCTTGACCTTCATTGTCTGTCCCCTCAGGAGGACCTCTCCCATGCCCTGGCCCTCTCAGGACCTGGCCTCACCATTGTTCTGGGTCTGCCACACAGCGTCCGACACTCCCCAGAGGGCCGAGAAGATGAAGAACACAGCCAGCTGGTCAGGGTGTGGTTTCCATAGCAGGAGGGCCACGATGCAGCCAAGGTGGACAAGGGCCCCTGCCGGGATGGAAGGGACAGCAGAGTGTGGGTGTCACCAAGACAGAGGTGGGGGTGGGCTTAGGGGAGGAACACCAGGGCACCTGCCAGAATGGAGGGGACACCAGGGTGTATCACAGAGACAGAGATGGGGGTGGGCTTAGGGGAAGGACACAGAGAAGCCCTTTCTGTGACCATCTGCAGTCACACTGTGAGGGGAGGAAGGCCATGGGAGGATGGAGATGGTCAGTGCCCCCATATGGGTCCCCGCAGGGCCCTCTGAGGACCGTTTGAGGGAGACCAGCATGCTGCCCCTCAGACACCCCCCTCCTCGAGTGAACTTGCTGCTGAGGGAGCTGCTTCCGAATGACCAGTGGACGCAGGTCACGTCCATGCTGGGCCCAGGGAGGAGCAATGCAGCCTGGGCGCTGGGTGGACTTGAGGTGTGGTTCCCATCGGTCACGCCCGCTCAGAGCCTGGCGTGGGGTGACACGGCCCTGCATCCAGGTAGACCATGAGGTACAGTCCCCATGGACACAGGTCACGTCCACGCTGGCCCCGAGGTGCAGGAGGACGAGCCAGCTCCGCACGCTGGGAGGACAGAGTGAACAAGCACCTGGCTGGGCTGCACCTACCAAGCACATAGATGGAGACCCGGCCGACGTACTGGCTGAGCTTCCCGTACAGCAGGGAGCACAGGGCGTCGGTGGCCGCGAAGCAGATGGCGACATAGCCCACGAACTGGATGCCCAGGGCACAGGTGACATAGGACTGCGGGGGAGGGAGAGGCCAAGCGTCAGACCGGTCTCCTGCAGGACGCAGGGCCCATGAGGGAGACCTCAGTCAGGGGACACAGCTCATGGGAAAATGCCCATCTGGCAGGGGGCTCGTGGCTCATCGGGCTACGTGACCCCTAGGGCAGGAGAGTGAGCTGAGCCCCCTTTACAGTGAGAGGGTGAAGAGGACACGTCTGGGAGTTAGCTGAAATGATCTAGGAGAGGACTGCAAGTTTGCCAGAAGAGGGCACACCTACTGTGTTGAGGCCGGCTGGCAGGGGCATTGTGAAAAGGGAGAGACCGCCACGGCCGCCTGATGCCACTGGACTGTTAGAAATGGAGAATGGAGCTACGTTTAGAACTTTAGATGCTGATAAGAAAGCACGTGCTGCTGTTAAGAGTTGTTGTTGTTGTTGATGACCGTTGAGTTGAGCGCTACTCACAGCAATCCTACGAGGCAAAGGCCTGAAGCCTTTCTATAACTATCGACATTTATCAAACTTCATAGAGTTTCCAGGGGCATGTTGTTTAGGAAGTGGACGCCACTCCTGTAAAAACATAGAATGAAGCTTGTAACGCCAAGGTTTAGAACATGGTAAGGAAATGTGGGCCGGGGTTAAGGGCAGATTTTTAGAAACGTAGAGGGAAGCTTAGAAAGCTAAGGTTTACAATGTTAGAGATTAGCCGTCAGTGAGTGTGAGACAGTCAAGGCTAAGAGAATGTGCCCTCTCCCTGTGTTGATTGAAAGAGGCCCTATGAGGGCTCCAAGATTTAAGGTGTTGACCAGAAAAATGCTATATAGAGCTCAGAGGCCCAATGTGTTAATCTTGAAACGAAACCCCCCAATTTCTGATAGGCTACTTTTTCAAGAGGGACCTTGCCTGACAGCAGGAAGAAGAAACACCTCACTTCTGATTGGTGAAACCCCGACCCTGAGAGGCCTGGATGGGGGTAACTCCCTGCCTGGACTAATGCAGTAGAGATGTGGCTCTCAGAACTGCGGCCTGGAGACCGGGGAGCTGATGTGGACGGCTTGCTCTCTGTCCCTGGCTGGGCTACGTGACAGGAACTGTCTGCTGTGGGGAGCCTTGGGCTTGTTCCAACACTGGCCACGAAGAGTTTGTCACTAGGCACAATTGCTTGGCTATTAAGACTTGACTGATTGTTAAGATTTGATATCTTATGCTCATCTAGATGATAACATAATTATGATAAAAACAAAAGGGGGAAATATGGGAAGCCAATACTAAATATTTGTAATAAACTGAATGTTATTTAAATAAATTTTAAAAAGACAAAAAGGGGGGGAAAGATTTGATATCTTACCTTCTGGATTGATTTTTATATGAAATTACAAATGGGCTTCAGACCTTGTGGTGTCCCATAAAGTGTGTGATTTGCAATTATATTTGCCTGTAATCTCTGTGGCATAAATCTGCACGATACACAAGGATGATTGGGACACAGCCCCAGACAAGATGGAGAGGGTCGCACCCCGTGCTGACACAGGAAGAGGCGGCGTGGGGGAGGGCAGAGCTCTGTGATGACAGACCTGTGCTTACAGCCTCATGCTCTACGCCTCCGTGCACGCTGAAGGCGAGAGTGTGCCGCGGATTGAACTCCTGCAACAACAGGCCTCACGCCGAGGGCAGGATCCTCAGAGCCGGGTCCTTATCTCCTGTTTTGTGATCTGACATAATTAAGTGCCATGTTCTAAATCTTCACCTCTAGGAACGGGTCTCTGGTGGCTTCGTGGTGAGGAGCTGAGGAACCGTGAAGCCCCAAGTGCACGGTTCACCAGCTCCCCACACCATTTACAGCCTCCGAAAACCTGCTGGAGGGTTAGCTTTGGGTCCGTTCAGGCTCCAGGGTGCGTAACAACACCACCACCTCTAGGGTGTGAAGAAGACGTGTAAGTAAGCGGAGGCCCCGGGCACACAGAGGCGGAGGCCCCGGGCACACAGAGGCGGAGGCCCTGGCACTCAGAGGAGGCGGCCTTGGGCACTCGGAGATGGTCTGCTGTGACCACAGGGTCTCCTTCCTCCCCTCGCCCTGCAAGTGTTGACTCACAGTGATGTCTGGGAGTGCAGCTGATTATTGGCTGTGTTTATATTCCTGCCCTGCCCAGTGTCCGCGGCTCCAGCATGCTGCCTGTACCCATCCATCTAATGGTAATGCCTGCCCTTAGGGGAGTGGACGAGTTGGTTTCAAAAACTAGATTGTAAACAAACAAACAAAACCCCGAAACACCAAACAAAAAAACCCAAACTAGATTGTAGGGGAATAAACTTCTTGCCAAGCCTAACACGGCCTCTCTCGCTTGGCCCCCATCAGGCAGTACTTGCTGTTCTTTTTGTGTACACTGGAGTCAGAGCTGACCCATATCTGACCCTCCAGTGGGTTTTCACATGGGAGGAGACTGCCCATTGTTCTCGGCTGGTGGATTTGAACCATGTGCCTTTGAGAAGGCGGAGCAATTGCCGACCACTAAACCACAAGAGCTCCCCTAATACTTGGTATGGTGACCTTGAAAATCTAATACTCCTGTAACCTGGCCACTTATTCATAAAAATACAAACCGCCTGCCTCCCTCTGGGGACACAGTGCCTCAGACCTTCCCACCACTGTCCAAGGCATCACCAAAAACACTTAAAAAGGAGTCTAGTCTGTGGACTCATAAGAGTAGAAGGTATTTTGAGCATAAACTTGCAAAGCTTAAGTTAGCAACCTTTCTCCACTTAAAAAGCATAACTTGCTCCTGTAATAACAGCAACTATCATAATTCTAATCTATATCCGTGCTCCCTCTTGATGAAAACATTTCCCCACAAAGTGGCTAGCACCGTAAAAATAAGTGAGGTCTTTGCACAAGTGCACCACTCCCTTAAGAGGCAGAGGTGCTTGACTTGCTCACACCATTCCTACCTGCTTTCTGGGCTGAAGTCTTATTAACTCTGTTCCCTGTCCTGCTCAGTTCAACCATTTATGTTAAAGATTAATTTCCCTTTAGGCTTTAAGTAACAATGGCCGGATTAATCTTTACTGTTTGCCCAAGACAGAACAATCGGCCACACTGGCCCCTGTGACAGACAGAGAAAGCTGACCATGCTCAAAACAGCAGCAAAAGCTTGTCAGCAGGTGGGGGTGGGGGTGGTGGAGGTAGTCCATACCCTCCTAGCAAACCAAAAGCTCCCCTGAGCGCCCAGCTAGGTGGCAGATGTGGGGAGTCCACACCTCCAGTCTCCTGTATTCCATACCTAGGTCACCCCTTGCTATTCACCCCACGCATCTCTCTCTTGAGTTGATTTTTGTCGACAGGCTGCAAACTGGTGCTTTCACGTCTGTCCTAGAAGCTCCAGTGTTGCTCATGGCTTCAAGTGCTCCCCCCTCCCCGTCAATCTGACATAAGAGCCCAGCGTGACTTCATGTGATGGCTTGGCCTTTGCTGCCCAGGTCAGCCTGGGTGCTTCCCAGAGGCTCAAAGGGGGCGGACTTCAGGGAGATGAGGACCCCTCCTGTGGGTTGACATTGCTCAGAGGCTGTTAGGCAGAATCATAAACCCAACTATCCCAGGATGGGGGATCTTGTGATGGGGTGATATGTTTGTCTTATAGATGTAAGACTTATATAAAAAGAGGGGGGGATGGTAGGATGGTATTAAAAAGTTCAGAATTCTCGATATATGTATCAGTTATAAAACTATAGTTATATAATTCTAAAACTAACCTCAGTTTTCTTCAGCTTGCAAAACTAGTTACTTAGCCTCCAAATTCTGTTTCCTGTCTTTAGTCATGTAAAGAAGTTTGATCTGCCTGTTTACCAGAAGAGGAAATGCATCTCACCTAGATCTCTCTGAGGCTGTTTCCCAGTCAGATGTAAATTGTAACTTAATTTGCCTATTTACCAGGAAGGGGACTGGGCCCTTCCTGAATTATTAGTACTTAAATATGAACTCTACTCAGAACACTTGATTGTGCTAATGCGGAATCTATACTTGGACCAAGAGGTAGTGGTCAGAACAGCGCAAGGAAACACTGCATGGTTCAAAATTGGGAGGGGCATACGCCAGGGATGTGTTTTGTCTCCATATCTTTTCAACCTGTATGCAGAACAGATTATCAGGGAGGCTGGGCTCTATGAGGAGAAATGTGGTATCAGGATTGGTGGCAGATCTATCAACAATCAGTGTTATGCAGATGACACAACCCTGCTTGCTGAAATTGAGGAGGACATGAAGCTGTTGCTGCAGAGGGTCAAGGACTGCAGCCTTCAATATGGATTGAGGCTCAGTGTCAAGAAGACAAAGGTTCTCATCACTGCACCAATTGGCAACATCAGGATGGATAGTGAAGAGATTGAGATTGTTCACAGCTTTAGTTGGCTTGGCTCTACAGTCAACACTCTTAGCACCAGCAGCCAGGAAATTAAAAGACATATTGCAATGGGAAACTCAGCTGTTAGGGACCTCTCCAAAGTAATGAACAGCAATGGTGTTCACTCTGAACACTAAGGTGTGTCTGATACAGGCCATGGTCTTTGCTATCACTTGCTATGTGTCACAGAGTTGGACAATGACTAGGGAGGATGGAAGGAGAATTGATGCCTTTGAGCTGGGTGCTGGAGAAGAGTGTTGAGGGTACCATGGACTGCTAAGAAGATCTGGGAAAGGGTTAAACTGGGCTCCTCCTTGGAGGCAAGGATTCTGAGGCTTCGTCTAAGATACTTTGGACATGTTGTAAGGAGAAACCAGTCCTTGGAGAGGGACATCATGCTTGGGAGGGTGGAGGGACAGCACAGGAGGGGAAGGCCCTCTATGAGGCGGATTGATTCAGTGACTGGGGTAATCGGGATGGGTGTGTTGAAGGCAGTGTGATTGGCACAGGACAGAGCAGGGTTTAGGGCTGTTGTACATAGGGTCACTATGAATCGCAAGAGACTTGATGGCACATAACAACAACAACAATAAAATATGAACTATTCTTTTCAGGTGTAGAAATTCTTTTTTTTACCCATCAACAAACGAATGGCTAGAGAAGCTGTGGTATATTCGCACAATGGAATACTATGCTGCATTAAAAAACAAGGAACTCATGCAATATTATTCAAAATGGTTGACTCTGGAGAACATTATGCTGAGTGAAATATCCTGGTCACAAAAGGACAAATATTACATGATGCCACTGTTGTAGAATGGGACTGTCCTTGGGGTTGGGGAGAGACTGAGTAAGATGGGCTCAATAATGTATACTGCACTGAAACAGAGGAGGGAGAAAACTGTTTAAAAGAGATATATAACTAGGTATTTCTGTCATCACAGGAGACTAGAGCGAGGGCTACATGGTGGAGGGGACCTGGGGGAGGGTTTGTAAAACAATGAAAGAATCTTTTCTTTTACTTTTCCATAATTTTTGACTCATGTACTTATAACTTGTTAGTCAAATTTGTGTCTTCTAGGTTGCAACACCCCCATGATACATCTTCAAGGATATGAACATGTACGGCCAAGCACAATCAATAACAGTGCATCTAAATTCCAAAATTAATCTCCATAATAGTCTATGTGTTTCCTACTGCCAAAGGGGCCCTTTAGAGTAGTGAGAGAAGATCTTCACCCTGAAACCCACAGCATCCCTTTTCAGCAGGAAGTAGCTAAGAGAATACGCCATCCCCTTTTCCTTATGACTCAGGGTGAAGTCTCTCTCAGGGAGGAGTAATAGGGAATGGCAAAGGACACACTGACAAAGAAGATTAATCAGAACTGGCTTTGACAAGCACTGTGGCATTTGGACAAGAACAAACTGGGAGGAGGGTAGAGAGAATAGTGCAACAATGAATGAATGGAGACCCAAAATCTCTGTAAATGTGTATGAAAATTAGTAAAATATAATTACAGAAAAAAAAAGAAATTCTTTTTTTAGTAACAAAAGTGTTGTTAAGTGAGTCTCTCCTAGAAAAGCTCATGACCACTCCCAGATAGGGAGGCAATCTTGGAGGTGACTCGCTCTCTCCCAGATCTGCGTAATAAAGTGTTTATGGATATTGCATCCGTTTGTCTTATTGGCGATTGACTATGGAAAGAGCCCCTTGTGTTCAGTAACACTTGGACATCCTGCCTCCCAGCCTTGGGTGGGGTTCCCTCTGTGTTCCTAGGCCCTCTAAGCCAGGCGAGGACATGCATTGACTTGGGCACTTTCTGTGCCAAATCTCTCCACCTCTGTTCCCTCGTCAGCTTGTTTCAGAGGTTGACTTTCCTCTAAGTTTGACTAACACTAGTTAGTGAATGCCCACTTGTTTTCCTCTAAGACAGACCGCGGAGCAGCCAGGGCCCCCCTGAGCTCGCAGGAGCCACGGGCACGCCCGGGATGTGGCCCACATACCTTGGTGTAGTCCCCGGCCAGAAAGCCCTGCTGCATCCCGCTGTACAGGGGCAGAAGCACCAGCAGACACAGGCGTTTGTCTCGGAGAAGCTGGAACGTGGCCAGTAAGTTGGCCCACGAAGATGACGTCCTCCCTTTGCTGTTCTGCTGGATGTCTTGGATGGGTTCCAGAAACACTGCTATCAGCAGGACGGCTAGCACCCCGCAACCTGAGGGGAGGTGAAGACCAGTTGTGGGGTGCTAGCTACTGACCACTGCCCAACTCCCCTTTCCCCTCAAGAGACACCAGGTCTCTGCCCGATTGCACTTGGAGTAACGAAGCTATTTCTCCTTTGGCCAAACCTGCCAAACCCCAGAGGGGCCAGGCCGTCTGCATGTGCTCACTCAACCATCTGCTTCTCTGGAGGATGGGAACTGAGCCAGGTGTGGGGCATCAGGCAGGTGGCACAGTGCCCCCGCCCCGTTGTCTCCTGGGCCCTCACAGAGGCTGCCTCGATTCCAGCTTCTTGGCCACGTGACAGCCGGTCAGTGCTGCCCTCCGCGCCATATTACCTTGTTGTCAGGTGCCACCAGGTGCACTACAACTCACGACAACGCCATGTGCAACGGCTCTGACCCGTGACCCTTCCTGCAGCCACCCTCATCATCTGATGTCCTCGAACACACTGCTCCAGCTCCAGGGTCAATCCACCTTGGTGAGGGTCTTCCTCTCATTGATGCTTCACTTTCCCAAGCATGGTGTCTTTTTCCAAGGATGATCCCTCCTGACAACATGCCCCAAGAATGTCACGGCACGTGTCACCATCCTTGCCTCCCAGGAGCACTCTGGCTGCACTTTCTCCAAGACACATGTGTTTGTTCTCTTGGCCGTCGATGGGATGTTTGGTGTTCTTCTCCAGCACCACAGCTCACAGGCATCAGTTCTCCTTCTGTCATCCTTAGTCACTGTTCAGCTCTCAGACACATAGCAAGTGACTGAAAAGACCAAGGCCTGAATCACATGCACCTTAGTCTTTAAGTGGACATCCTTGCTCTTTAGCACTCTGGAGAGGTCCTTGACAGTAGATTTTCTCATTTAACACATCTTTTAATTTCTTGATTGCTCCAAGTAAAGTGAAATCATTGACAATTAAATCTTTTTTTCATCTATCATGATGTCCTTCCAGATTTCTTGACACAACCTGGTGAGCACATCCAGGGCAGCATCTGTTAGTTGAAATATGTCAACTGGTATGCCATTAACTCCTGGGGCTTTATTTTTGGCCAATTACTTCAGAGCAGCCTGAAATTCCCCCTTAATCACCATTGTGTCTTGACCATTTGTTCTTTCTTGAAATTCTTCTGTATCAGCCAATTCCTTTTGGTACAATGATTCTGTATACTCCTTCCATCTTCTTTTAATGCTTCCTGGATCATTCAATATTCTGTCTATAGCATCCTTAAGCACCACTACTCATGGCTTGAATTTGTTCTTTAGTTCCTTTAGCTTAAGAAATGCCACGTGAGTCTGGCCCTTTTGAGTTTCCAATTCCAGCTCCTTGCACACTTCATCATAATAATTTGTCTTGTCTTCCCGAGCTGCCCTTTGAAATCTTCGGTGTGATGGATTGATGAAGTAACTGTGGTAATGGGGGTAGGTGTGTCAGAATCAGTGAGACTGGCTCAGGACAGGGCAGGTTTCAGAGCTGGTATACATAGGATTGCTATGGGTTGCAGGTGACTTGATGGTACATGACAATAACAACAATATCATAATGTTGCCTATTGGTCCAGTGATGAAGATTTTTGTTTTATTTAATTGAAACGCAATCCATATAGAAGGCTGTAATGTGATTTTTTTTGCAACAAGCATTTCAAATCCTCCTCACTTTCTTCAAACAAGGTTGTCATCCACGTGTCACAGGTTGTTGATGAGTCTTCCCAGATCCTGAGGCCACCTTCCTCTTAACGAAGTTAAATGAATTCGGCAAACACACTGAATGAGTCTAGAGAAACAGCCCTGACACATAACCTTCTTGATTTGAAACCATTCCCTTTTTCTGCTCAGACAAGAGCCTCTTGGGCTAGATACAGATTTCTCATGAGAGTAATTGTTCTGAGATTCCCGCGCTTTTCAATGTTAGTCACCATTTGTTGTGATGGACACAGTCAAATGCCTTTGCATGTTGTTGTTATGTGCCGTCGAGTTGCTTGCAACTCATAGCGACCCTATGTACAACAGCCCTAAACTCTGCTCTGCCCTGTGCCAATCGCACTGTCTCTGACACTCCGATCCCAATTATCCCAGTCACTGAATCAATCCACCTCATAGAGGGTCTTCCCCTCCTGCGCTGTCCCTCCACCCTCCCAAGCATGATGTCCTTCTCCAAGGACCGATCTCTCCTCACAACATGTCCAAAGTATGTTAGACAGAGCCTCAGAATCCTTGCCTCCAAGAAGCCACCCGGTTTAACCCTTTCCAGGACGAATCTGTTTGTTTTCCTAGCAGTCCATGGTACATTCAATACTCTTCTCCAGCACCACAGCTCAAAGGCATCAATTCTCCTTCTATCCTCCTTGGTCATTGTCATAGTTGATAAAATGTCCTTCTGGTATTCTCTGATTTCAGTCTAGACCCACTGGACATCAGCAATTGTATTTGTATGCCAGGGCCTCTTCTGAAACCTGCTCCAATTTTTATTCCTGCCAATGTATTGTTTTAGCCATTTAAAAAGAATCTTTCATCAACATTTTACTTGCATTTGACATTAATACTTGATATTATTCAACAATTTCTCCATGCTATTGCGTCCCTTCCATGGCATGAGCACCGCTATTGGTGAGAGACCCCAGATATCCCAGTACCTTGACCTTCACCTCAGTTCACCCCACCCTTCCAGAGAGCCTTTTCCCAACAGCTGGTTTCACCTCTGAGGGTCATGGGCCCGTAAAGGCGCGCTGACGAGTAGTCTGCAGCGTGCTTTCATGCTGAGCAGAAGGCTGGGAGTTGTCAGTGGTTCAAATCCATCGTCAGCTCTGTGGGAGAAAGATGAGTGGCCTCCCTCCATTAAAGTATGAGCCTCAGGCTAGAGGGTCGCCAGCTGAGAACTGGCCCGCAGGAGGGGCTCTGAGGGCGCTCTCTCTCTCTCTCTCTCTCTCTGTGTGTGTGGTATATGTTTTAAAACAAACTCTGGCCAATTTGGTTGAAGAAAAATATGATATGGCTTATTTTGCGCCAGTCTGTTCTGACATGCTACTCCTGAGGTTAGAGTCACTCGGCCCAATGACAGCCGGCATGTGTACTCTGTAATATACTCCGCATGCTGGACCCAGTTCAGTAGGATTGTCACTCAAGTGATGGACACGAGCCTTGGCCGACATGATGCAGTACTCTACTCCCGCCTCAGAGCTGGACAGTTGTTGGCCAGGGTGACCACGCTGGCTTTTCCTCGCCTGATCACCTTCAGAGTCCGCTTGTACCCCAGCACACATTTTATGCGTTTCATAAGTTGGAGCCTGGAGTTGATCAGCTCCAGAGGCTCTTTCTCTTTCTGCAGCCTCCATCGAGGTGCCTTAGGTGCAGACTGGCCCTCGGAGTTGAGGTCGTGACCACTTGGGACACCTTGTCTCCATTCCAGGTCTGGGTGTCCAAGGCCTTCAGTGTACGAATGGTGGAATCCGTGTCAGGATGTCCCACCAGGAAGAGGTGGTACATGTGGAAGATTTCTTAATCCACTTCCAGTGTACTCCGAGACAGAGGGATGGTAAGGGTGACCGGAGGGAGCAGAGCAGGGGGGACAGGACACGGGGGAGCAGGCCTTTCTCCACGTGACCTTCGGCACTTTGAGCCCTTTGAACATGTGATGAGAACAAAGTTCCCCTGCTGTCAAGCCCATTGAGACTCATGTCAACCCTCCACCAGGTTCCCACAGTGGGAAACATCACAAGAGAGACGCCCACCTCTCTCCTGAGATCTGATGGAACCAAATCTCCCAACTTTAGGTCAGCAGCCCAACACCATGAACTGGGTCACCTGGGATCCTTTGAGAATGAATTATATATTTAAAAAAAAAAACCCAACCCAAAATAAATAAGGAAACCCATATGTCCACTTTTGAAAGGCCCAAGTTTTTATTATTATAAAAGTTAATGACCAAGCCTCTGTATTACTGTCCACACAAGGAATCCTGGCGGCCTAACGTCTAACACATCGGACCACTAGCTGGAAGGTCAGTAGTTCAAATCCACCAGCTTCCCTGCAGGAGAAGGATGGGCCATCACCTTTCATAAGATTTTAGCCTCAGAAACCCGGTGGGAGGACTGTGAGGTGGAACCAACTTGGTGGTGGTTAAGACTTTTTGGTGCTGTTCAGCCGTCTCCTGACTGAGGGCTGGTACTTCTCCAGTTCTATGTTGCTGTAGTTGGTAGCTGTTCCTGACCCAGGGACCGAGGGAGAGCCAGAGACCCAGGGAGCACAGAGGACACACCTGGCCCTGCCCCATGTCCAGGACTGATGTGTCCTCCCCTGTGGGTGTCCATCATGGTGCTGACCATCCAGGCTGCCACCGCCCCATGTCCAGGACTGAGGTGTCCCTGCTCTATGGGTGTCCACTATGGTGCTCACCGTCCAGGCTGCCACAGACAATGTCCTGCGTGCACTTGTTGGCTGTGGTTAACACATTGTCAGGCCTCCCTCTTAGTCATGGGCAGGACACCCCACAGATGCCTGCCCGCCATGGGGGGCCCTGCTGGTGTTTTAAATACTGGTGGTACAGCTACCACCATCACAGCAGGACGCAGGCCACCGCAGCACCATGCCGGGCGGACAGTAACGGTCTCGGTGTGGTGACTGGTGATGTAAGCATCTCCCGTGACATCGTGTGACCCTGCTGGGACACTGCTTAAGCACTCAGCCACTAAGTGAAAGGTTGGCCGTCTCAATTTTTAAAACAAATTTTTTTACAGCATATTCTTTCCATTTAATTTCCCCCATTCGTTAATTGTTGCACATTTCCCTCCCTGCCCACCCCTCCCCACAGTTAATTTTTCTCTTTGAAAAAAAATTCTTTCATTGTTACACAATTCGCACCCCCTCATCCACAGTTCACTTTACTATGCATTTCTTTTTCTGTAAACTTGGCATGAAAATAACCTAATCCTATATTCCTTTTAAACAGTTGTCTCCCTCATCTGTTTCAATGCAGGATACATTATTTACCCCACTTTTCTTAGGTTCCCCAACCCTGATGTCAGTCCTGTTTTACAACAGTGGCACCATGCAATATTTGTCCTTTTGTGACTGAGATATTTCACTCAGCATCATTTCCTCCAGGGTCACCCATTTTGAATAATATTGCATGAGTTCCTTCTTTTTCAATGTAGCATAGTATTCCATTGTGTGAATATACCACAGCTTCTCTATCCATTCATTTGTTGATGGGCACTTGGGTTGTTTCCAATTCGTTGCTATTGTGAACAAAGCTGCGATAAACATGGGTGTGCATAGATCTGCTTGGATGTCAGTTACGGTCTCTTTGGGGTATATTCCCAGTAGTGGAATTGCTGGGTCAAATGATATCTCTATTTGCAACTTTTTGAGAAAGCGCCATACCGCCTTCCACAGTGGTTGCACCATTTTACCCTCCCACCAACAGCGGATAAGTGTTCCGGTTTCTCCACAACCTCGCCAACATTTGATGTTTGCTGTTCTGTTAAATTTTGCTATTCTTACTGAGGTGACATAATATCTTATAGTTGTTTTGATTTGCATCTCTCTTAGAGCTAGGGATTTTGAACGCTTCTTCTTGTGTTCTGTGTTCACCATCTGAATGTCTTCTTTGGTGAAGTGTCTGTTCATATCCTGTGCCCATTTTTTCAATTGGGTTGTTTACCTTTATCTTGTTGTGGTGCTCAAATATTCTATAAATTCTAGATGTAAGTCCCTTCTCAGATATGCCATTGCCAAATAATTCTTCCCCAGTCTGTGGCTTCCCTTTCTATCCTGTTGGAGAAGTTTTTGGATGTACATAGGGATTTGATTCTTGGAAGGTCCCATTCATCTATTTTATCCTTTCTTGGTTTGTAGGTTTTTCAGGATGCTTGGGAGACTGTTTATGCTGCGGATTAGGGCCTCTAGAGTTGTTCCAAGTCTTTCTCGAATGAATTTATAGGCCTTGGTTTTAGTCCTAGGTCCTGGGTCCACTTTGAGATGGTTTTGTATGGAGTGAGCTGGGGATCTTGCTGCATTTCAAGGAAAAAACATGTTATTCTGCATCTGTAAAGACACAGTGTTGGGAACCTGGCAGCTCCCCCTCGTCCTGCTGGGCTGCAGTGAGCTGGCCCCAGCACTGGGTTTGCACGGCTTTGTGATGTCTTGTCATCTGCACCGTTTGTTCTCCGCCCGACAGAGATGACACACAGAGCCTGGAGAACGCTGATGAATCCAGGCTAGCTGATCTCGTCCCTTTCCTCCTGCAGTGTCGAGACTGCTCTGTACAACATGAGGTCCTACGCCCTGCGCCAAGAGGCCTGGTGTTCCTCTAAGGCAGTAGAGATCAGCTCTCTTTTCTCTGTCTCTAATCGAATGTCTCTCACAAGGTGACACAAATCTGCTATCTACCACAGTCAGCTCACCACGGGGCTCCCAGCTCAGTGAATGGACACTGCACTCCTGGAGGTTCTTGGCCAGCAGCGGGCACACCTTGCTTTCCAGCTGTGGCTTCCGGCGGGGCTCCATCCTCGTCTGGCTAAACACACACCTCAGAGGCTCAGGACCCCTGGCACTCTGATGAAGCTCCTGGGGGCCAGCGCGGAGCCCAAGTGGCCCCTGCACGGGGCCTCCTTTTCATCAGGTCGCTTCATCTCCTGAGTTCCAGGTGGGGGACGGCTGTGCTCTGCAGTTGGCCGTGAGGCTGCAAATGTGAACCCAAGTGACGGCACAGAACAGAGACAGGAAACCCACTCCCAAAGGATGTCCACCAGGCCCGCTGCCCTCTGGACACTGACTCCAAGTGACCCGGCAGCAGGGTCCAGGTGCACATCCTTACAGGGGAGACTGCCTTAGAGGTGGCCATTGAAACTCCATTTGCTGTCCCCTCCACTTACTGCAGTGTTGCGGTGGCACTCACACCATCAGACCATGGGTCATTGGCAGGGCACCCAGCAAATATGAAGTGACCCCAAACCCGTTCAGAAATGGGCTGTGTGTAAGGCTACACACAGGGGCCTGTCCTGGCACAGGGGCCCTGCTGTCCTGTGGGCAACCCCATGGGACACCAGCTCCTCATTGGAAGTGAGGCCACATGGGGCTTGAGAGAGTGGCCAGAAGAGGAGGTGGGTGCAGGAGCCCCGCCTCGTACCTCACGGCGCTGGCCCTGCAGGGGCCCTGGTTCAAGGACCTCGGCACACGCGGCCCTCACATGGAGTCCGCATTTGTGGCCATGTGTGGTGGGCACTTTCCCTGCAGAAGCAGAGGGCAGACACCTGCCCTTCCTCCCACGGCAGGGCGCTTGGCCGCCTTGGGCCATCCAGGACCCGAGAGGGGTGACAGTGGACAAGGACCTGCTGGCACACTCACCTGTGTAGATGCCCACCAGCGTGTAGATGACCTGGGATGGGTGCTCGGTGCTGTTGGTGGTCCCGCCAGTCATCAGACAGTCACTGGCCCCGCAGGACGAGAGCTGGTCCTCCGTGATGGCCTCTGCAGAGTCAGAGCAGACGTGAGGCCGGTGAGGACGGGGGGACAGGTGGGGCAGGGGACGTGTCACAACTGGCCAGGACATGCGTCTGCCCCAGCGAGCCACACGCTCGGCCATGGACACCTTCAGGTCAGCAGCAGGCAGGGCGCTCGCTTCCCGCAAAGGTTCAGGAGGAACCAGCGTGGGGTGAACGAGAGGTTCAAAACCAGCGGCTTTGCCAGGTGAACTGTCACGTCACATGTCTGTGCCACACCAGCACCCCGGCCCTGGACTGGCTGCTCTGTGACGTGTCTGCAGGCCAGCATCATCTGCTGAGAGAACATTTGCACCCCACAGGTTCTCAACCAGCACCCACATTATAAACACTGAGACAGGTGGCGTGCCGCTTAGGAAAGGACGGCCAGTGTCTGCGGCTCCCATGGCAGAAGTCCCACCACATGACACCCTGTATCTGCTGTCCTTGGCCAGTGAGAGCCACGTGAAGGCAGGTTCCCAGCTGGCCTGGGCTTCCTGTCCATCCCTTCAGGGCCCCGCTGACACTGGGACGGACGGGGATCCCTGTGTCCGTTACCTCACTGCTGCAATAAGCGCAGATTAAATTAGAGGGATGATGGGGTTTCCCATCATTCAGGAAATGATGACCTCATGAAGAAGGGGGGAACCTTTGTCACTGAGCATCCCCAAGGCCAGACATTTCATGGGCGAGCAGGACTGGAGGACACAGGACGAGGGAGATGGCACTGCCCGTCCGCAGGCGAGGATGATGCTCCCCAGCGGGAAGGACACACTCTGTGCCAGCTCGTGCCTGGGCGAGCTCAGGTCTGCTCACACGCTGACCCACCAGCGAGAGGCCAGAGCCGCCTCTTCCTTCAGTCAGAACTGATGACTCAAGCTGACCCCAGCGGGCTTTCAGGGGCTTGAGATCACACACCTTGACCACATGTTTGGTCAGTTTCGGGCTGCAGGATTTGGTAAACAATTCTTCCGAAGCTGTCTGGGTGGACTTGAACCCGAACCCTCTGTTCTCGTTCCGGTTAAGTGCATCTATGATCACCCCCAGATGTCACCCATGGAGACGTATCCTTGAGCTGGCCAGTCACCCTGCTCCCCTGGGGCGTCCTCACGTCTTACCTTGGGTGGGTGTCTGACCGAAGACCAGCGATGAGATCAGGTTGCCCCACACCCCAGAGGACTGGAATATGAGGAAGAAGATGCCGAAGTACTGGTTGACCACGTCTCTGCCCATTTTGCCCACCTTGCTGGCATGCATGTTCCCCAAGGTGGTGATGTAGGTGCACTGGGCGGACCAGAGCGGGGCGCCACCCAGCCCCAGCAGGATGGACGTGGGGATCAGTGTGTACCTGCAGGAAAGGGCGGTCACTCCCTTCAGGTGCCATGGTGTCCCTGCCCATTCCCTGCACTTGCCCAAAGGCAAACCATGGCCCCACCCTGAGTTCTACGAGCTTGTGGGCTGACCAGAACCACGGGGCCAAGCCTGTCTTGCAGCCCTTGCAGACCAGGGCCCAGGACCTGAGGGTTCCCCAGGCGGAGCTGTGGTCTGCAGACCTGTGCTGCTAAGCTGATGCTGCGTGTTCAAACCCCACAGTGGCCTTGAGGGAGGAAGTTGGATGGCCTCCTCCCATTGGCATTTACAGGCTCAGGAAACCGCCAGAGGGCCAGCTGGCGGTCAGCCTTGCCGGTTCTGACTGTGTTCGGGTTGTCGCTGTCTACTCTGTGTGAAAGCAGACTGCACACTTTCTCAGTGGGAACAGCTGGTGGGTTTGAACCAGCAACCTTGTGTTGCCACCAGGGCTCTTTCAAGTGTCTAAGCTGCCTCATTGCAGCCTGGCAGGACAGAGCAGAGCTCCGGTTTCCAAGGCTGCCGTCTAAGGAGCCCCAGCGATGCATGGGATTTGCCATGTTGGGCTGCCAGCGGAAGGGGGGGCTGGAAGCCACCAGCTGTTGTGTGAGAGGAAGACGTGTGGCCCGTTGGAGGATCCGCAGCTGCAGAACCGACGGGAGGCCACCAAGTGTTGAAGGGAGGAGCCCGTGGATGGACAATCTTTCAGGAAGTAGACCTCCTTGTTTTTCTTCTTGGGTTTGAACTGCTGGCCTTTCAGTTATCAGGCAGGCAACAAACCACTGTACCACCAGGAAGTGGCAGCACAGAGCTGGGACAGGAGTGGAGCAGCCCTACTTGGGGAAAGGGGAAGAAACCCAGGTAACTGGCCGTCACTGAAACGGAGCATATTCTGGATAAAGCTGGCAAGTCCAGGAGGCAGTGTGTGTTTATGTAGGGGGAGGGAGGTGCAAACTCCAAACAGGACACCACCCAAGGTCCACCCTGCACCCTGAGGTCCAGCCGAGAAGTCCTTGAGTGTGCACCCTGAGGTCCAGCTCAGAAACCTGAGCCGACGCCCCAAGGTCCAGCCCAGAGGTCCTTGAGTCTGCCCTCCGAGGTCTAGCCAGGAAGTCCTGGAGCTCACACCCTCAGCGCCAGCCCGGGAGCCCCGAGCCTGCACCCCGAGTCGGCGTACCAGCTGGCCTTGAAGTTGCCCAGGGAGAAAGCCACATAGCAGCACATGGAGCCGACGATGGTCCACTTGCAGCCGAACTTCCTGATGAGCAGCGGGGGCAGGAACATGGAGGACAGCAGGATGGCTCCGTACAGCGTGCTGAGCGCAGTGACGCCCAGGCCAGCCTCGCTGTGGAGGCTGCTCTGTGGACACAGAGGGGCCGGTCAGGGGAGGCCCACATTGCCAGCGGGGGGCCCTGTGGTCATCTTTGTCAGTGGGGGGCACAGCACCTACATGGCCGCAAGTGAGCCAACACCCCTCATCACATTCTGTCCTGGTGGCCCTGAGGGACAGACAGCTGCCTGTGGGCTTGTCTCTCAGCAATGCAAACTGAAGGTCTTCTGGAGCACTGCTGAGCGGCTCTGAGCCACCAGCCCTTAGGGTGCTGATTAGCTGCCAGCCATGTGTGTCACCCCAGGAGCCTTCTCTAGTCTGAGGGAGAGGAGGTGCTGCAGGGTATGGTGGACGGTGACTGGCCGGCCCCAGGGGAGAGGCCTCTCTGCTCTCACCTCCTGCAGAGTCAGGTTACAGAGAGAGGAAGGCGAAGGAGCAACTGAAAGGTGGAGAGCCATGGGCTTAACAGAGTGTCCTGAGAGTCAGTGAGAGCAAGCCAAACGGTCTGAGGAGGAGGAGGAGGAGGAAGAGGAAGAGGAGAAGGAGAGAGGGAGGAGGGTTAGGAGAGGAGGAGGGTGAGGAGGAAGAGAAGTGTGTGGAGGAGGGGGAGGAGGAGGATGAAGAGAGGAGGGGAGGCAGAAGAGGAGGAGGAAGGGAAGGAGCGAGAAGATGTGACTCCAGTTCCTGACAAGCTCACGTGTCACAGAGAATTCCCCACTGCGTTTTCAGGTTGGGCCTTTTGGAAGCAGATCAGGCTCGTCTCCCTGACACACTGGGTGGACTTGAACTGACAACTTCAGATGGGCACTTGAGTGTGTCTAGTGTCTGCACAGTAAACTACCCTCTGGAGCAAACGCAGTGCCGTCCAGTGATTGCAGCTCAGGGAAGGCCCGGGGCAGGACAGAGTGTCTACAGGGGTGTCAGGTGGCCTCATCATCCCGCCACAGAACCGTGGCAGGATTCACTTCACGGGCCATTCAGTGAGCAGATGGGCACTGGACATGTGTGTGCCAAACTCACAGGGGTCAGGAGGGAGGCCCTCACCCTGGACTGCCAGTGCCCCAGAGAGCGCTCTGCCAGTCCAGGTCCCTCCAACCCTGCTGCCGTGTTCCAGAGGGGCTGTCACTGCTAGCTCAGAGGTGGCACTTCTCCGGCAGTTCAAAGCCACCATCAGCTCTGTGGGAGAAAGATGGTCAGTCTCCTCTCACATCATCTGCAGCCTGTGAAGACCTGCTGGAGGGTCAGCTATGAGTCAGTTCCTCCTCGAGGCAATGCCTTTGCTGAAAGGTGGACGGTGCAGAGGTGTGGAGTGCGGGAGAGAGGAGGTCTCAGGACACCAGGCTGCCGTGCAGTCCTACACAGAACTCATCCTGGCGGGCAGAGCCCCAGGCCGCAGTGACAGGCCTCCAAAGCCACACATTCAGTCCCAGGGTGGTACAGCGCCTTCCTTCTCAGCCTCTGGACAAATCAGAAGGCCTTGTCCCAGTGTCCCTGCACAGTGCTACTGGACCCCGTGTCCTGTGGTTCCCTGTCCCCAAGGCAGAGCCCAAACTCCCTGGCCCTACTCTGTCATCATCCTTCCTCCAGAAAGCTCTTCTCACCCCATCTCTGTCCACAGCCATCTCCTCCCAAATTATCACAGATGGCAGGCTCTCCATGAGAAGTTCTGACCACTCGGCTGGTGGGACCCTTCCCTGGGCATGGAGGGCAGCCTCTCCGTGCGGGGTCCTGACCACTCAGCTGGTGGGACCCTTCCCTGGTCACGGCTGGCAGGTCCTGACCACTCGACTGGCGGGCTGGGTTGTCTGAGCGGTAACAGAAACCTCCTCTGCAGTCACTGGCCTCGAAGCCACAGGTCATCATTTCTGCGGCAGGAGGGACACGGAGCACCATTCCTCTGAAAGCAAGATGTACTCCATGCCTCGTCAACATAAACACTTATTGACAAGTGCCGAATAAACTAGAAATCCTGAAAATAGCCAGACTTGCTCTCTGACAGGGACTCAGAGCAGCCGGACGAGTTCTTCAGACAAACTCTGGTGAGTGACGATGCAGAGACCACCTCCTGCTTCACCTCCACGTTACTTTGAAACCTCCACGGGCCAAACCAGACACAGGTTGAAGGGCTCCAGGGAGGATCACGTCAGCTAGAACTCAACGCTGAGCTGAGGCTTCTTCCTCCAGATGAGGCGAGAATCTCTCCCTTCCTGCCACCACCCTGCGTGCGGAGTGCTGAGTTCATCTGTTCAACACCGGGCCCACAGTGGGCCTCATCCGCATCGCTGGCTGATAAACCATCAACTCAAAACTCAACCTTACTGCTGTCTACTGGGGCCCGAAGCAGCTGGCCCCCGAGCCGTGCGGAGGCTGCGAAGCGTATGTGTGGAGATGGTCCACCTTTCTCCTGGGCAGGCGCTGATGAATTTGGGTATACAGCACCATCAGACGGCATTGGACAAAACCCCACTTTGCACCATGTCTCAGAACATTCCTTTTCCTGAAGGCCACAGGCGATGGCCCTTTGACTTCTTCCTGAGCAATGAAAGAGGAGGCTGGCCCAGCTATGATTCTACATCTGGTCAGTCCCTGGTGCCCTAGAGGTGTGTCCATGGGGATGGTCCCTCAGGGACATGCAGTGAACCCACAAACAACCATGGACATCCCAGAAAGACAACACGTGCCATGAACTCACGGCCTGAACAACCCTGTCCACCTCAGGGAGAGACATGCACAATGAACCCACAGGCTGTGGACATCCCTGTCCCCCTCAAGGAGACACAAGTCCAGTGAACCCACAGCCCGATCAACCCCAGCCCCTTCAGGGATGCATAGCACATCCGGTGAGCCCCTGGACTGAGCAGCCTCATCCCTCCCAGGGAGACACATGTCCAGTGAACCCACAGCCCGAACAACCCTAGCCAGAGTTTTTGGAGGAAGTGGTTAGAGGAGGCAAGGTCACCTTACTCACTGCCCTCACTTCTGACTCACAGCAACGCTTCAGGGTGAAGGAGGGCTGCCCCTGGCTCCCAAGGCTGTCACAGCCACAGGGACCGGTGTGCTCCCACCACCACTCAAACGCTTTAAGCACCACACCACCGAAGCTTCTTAAACACGGGCTGAAATGAAAGACCCCGCTGTCAAGCCCAAGCCGTAGCACACCCATGGGACAGCATAGACCTTCCCCTCAGGGTTTCCAAGGCGTGACCCTTCACCAGAGCAGACAGTCTCAGCCTCCTGCTGATGGACGGCTGGGGGACTTGAACCATTGATCTGTCAGTTAGCTTCCCAGTGCCTAAAACCTCTCACTACCAAGGCCCTTTAGAAAAACCCATAAAAGATCTGAAGTACAAAGACGGCTTGATGAGCGCTCACAGCTTTGCTTGGGATTAGCTCTTGCAGGCCCAGTGAGAGTTCTGATCCTAAAACCCAGAGTAGGGAGCCTCAGAATTTCAGAATTGACAATGGTTTGCCATGTATCGCACTTCTCCTTACTTCATCACATGTGTGCAGCCTCCCCGAAGGCAAAGAAGCCTGGCTCGTTGCAAAGCCCTGGCCAAGTCCTTGCTCGCTTCGTCCAAGGGTGGGGCCCATGTTAGGTGGTGAGTGAGTCTGTCTGCTGTCACACGGGTTCCCGTTCATGGTGACCCCCATGTGCAGAGGGACTGTCCAGAGTGTCTCCAGCACTGCTCCTTCTGAGATACCTTGAGTGGCTTTGCACCACCTCGCTTTCCATTAGCAGTCTGGCACGTAAATCTTTGTACACCCAGGGCGCCCCTTAGGGAACTGCGTGTCGGTGAAGGGCTTCTTGTTGTTAGGTGTGGGTGAATCGAGCACAGCTTGTAGTGACCCGGTGAACAATAGATGTGAACACTTTCCTGTCCTGAACCATCTTTCTGATTCTTGACACATTTGAGTGCATTGCCACAGACCCTTCACCAATCCATCTCATTGGGGGTATTCTCCTTTGCTGACCTTTCACCTTTCCAAGCCTGGTGCCCCTTTCCAAGCAATAGCCTCTTCTAGTAACATGTCCAAAATATATGAGACAAAGTCTCACCATCTTAGCCTCCATGAACATTCTGGTTACACTTTCTCCAAGACATAATCTGTTTGTTCCTTTGGGAATCTGTGGCACATTCAGCACTCTTCTCCAGCACTAGAACTCAAACGCATTGACTCTTCAATCATCCTGAGTCACTGTCCAGCTCTCAGACGTACAACAGGGGATTGGAAAGACTGTGGTTTGGATTAGGCACACCTAAGTCTTTAAACTGGCGTCATTCCTCCTCAGGACTTTGTGGAAGTCCCTGACAGCAGATTTTCCTAATGCTATGTCTCCCAATCTCCTGACTTCTGGTGCCAAGGGTGTGGGCTGCATCCAGCAAGAGGAAATTGTTGACAACTTCAATCTCTTCTTCAGCCATCATGTTTCCTAGTGGCACGTGGTGAAGACTTTTGTCTTCTTGATGTTGAGACATGATCGATATTAAAGGCTGTAGTCCCTGACCCTCTGCAGCAAGCACATCGGGTCCTCCTCAACTTCAGCAAGTACAATTGTGTCATCTGCATGATGCAGGTTGTTGATGAGCCTTCTTTCAATTCCTGAGGCCACACTCTTCTTCACAGAGTCTAGCTTCTCTAATGAATTGCTCTGCATACAGACTGAATAGGTATGGAGAGAGGCCGCGGCCCTGATGCATACCTTTCCCAATTTTTAACCATGCAGTGTTCCCTTGCTCTGTTTGCTCTGTTTTCTTGGTCTGTAGGTCTAGATTGCATATAAGCACAATTCTCATTCTTCTCCACGTTAGCCACAGTTTGTTATGATCCACACAAATGCCTTTGCACAATGAATAAAACACAGACAGACATCTTTCTTGTATTCTGCTTTCAGTCAGGACTCATCTGACATCAGCAACAATATCCCTGGTACCACAGCCTCTTTGTAACCCAGCTTGAACTTTTGGCAGCTCTCTGTGGACTGTTCTAGACATTTCTGGAAGATCTTTAGCAAGATTTTGCTCGGATATGATGTTGCTCAATAATGTCCACATTCTGCTAGATTCCCTTTCTTGGGACTGGGAACAAATGTGGATCTTTCCCAGTTGTTTAGCCAGGAAGCTGTCCTCTAAATTTCCGGAAACTACCTGGTGAGCATTTTCCAGGGATGCGGCAGTTATTTGGAACATGTCAATTGGTATCTTATTGATTCCTGGGGCCTTATTTTTTGCCAATGCCTTCAGTGTTGTAGGAGGGTGTAGAGAAAACTGCTGTGTACTCCACAGGGTGATTTGCAGAAGCCAGAAACACAAGGTGGACAGGACAAAAAGAAGCTGTGTGACCAGACCCCATTTTCCAGGCTCTGGACAGTCCAGGGATGCTCAGACAATGAGAAGGCCACCTGGCACCCTCAGCACTTACCTGTAGGTTCTGTAGCCCTCCATAGGCCGTGAACAGCAGGAGAAAGCCGAGAGAGACCACCAGCACATTCTTCAGGCTGTGGTCCATTGTGCCAGTCGCATGCCTTGACCATCAGCAGCTGTGGGAGTCCGGGCCGCCTAGAGCAGACGGAGAGAGGGACAGGAGAGGCCGTGTGTGGCGAGAAGCTACATTCTTTCCTGCCTGAGTCAAGGTGTGTCAGTCCTCAGCTGCTGCCTGGTAGACCTGGTTATCAGAGACACCCCAAGGCCAGCTGAGGGCTGTTCTCCGTCTTCCACAGAAACAGCACTTTCCTAAGAGGTCAAAGGTTAGCTAACTCTCGTCCTGTGTGTGGTGACTTTCCCAATCGTGAGTTCCTGGTAGATCTCGTCATGTTATAAAGTGATGACACACACTCACACGTACACACACACGCACGAGCGCACACACACACACACACACACACACGACAAGAAGTGCTGATGGTGCATACCCTGAGCTGCCCGTCAGCATTCAAGATCTAAAACTCGCTAACACCAAGATCCATAGTTCAACTTCTAAAACGTGAATGTAATTGTACGATCTTGGGAACAAAGTCCCAGGACCTCAGAGAGAAAGGACTTTATAACAGTGCTGTGATTTAAAACATTTATATACGTGAACAGGAACTTAGGTGTATCTAATACTTCACAATATGCAAAATCCGCTTCTCCACATCATTTGATGCTACTCAACAACAAACCGTCTAACCCCCCTCATGGAGGCCCAGGTCCACACCGGGGAGAGTTCCAGTCTGCGTGGGGCACTGCCACACTGACCGTCCCTTGTCCCTTCTGCCTGCGTTCATTGGCAAGGCTCACCGTGCTAGGGAGCTCTGTGGCCGAGTGCCAAGGAGCTGAGTTGCCAACCCAAAGGCACGTGGTTCAAAGCCACCAGCTGCTCCATGGGAAAAGGATGGGCAATCTCCTCCGGTGCCTTTTACAGACTCTGAAAGCCCGCCGGAGGGTCAGCTATGGACGGCGCTGAGTCCGTAGTACAACAACCACAACAGCTCTTGGCCCTGCTGGGCAGGCAGCCTGTGCCATGTAGGGAGGCAGGTCTGTCTCCAAGGAACATCGATAAAGGGGCAGAGCAAGTGAAGGGTCCTCATCTTGTTCCCACGGACTGGAGAGCGAGGCCAGCATGGGGGATGCTACCAGGGAGAGAGCAAAGCTCTGGGTTCAAACCCCAACGCTGGGCCGTTTCAGTGAGGCCAGCCCAGGAGGGCTTGCTGTTCTCTGAGTCCTGTTTCCTCTTGAAAAAATGGTGAGGGGTAGAGGCTACAGAAGTTCACTACACAAATACAGAGCACAGAGCGCTGAGTTCTCGAGCGCCCTAAGTGCCACCTTAGCTTTGAGAGGAACCCCTGACATGAGCAGTACATAGAGAAACCATCACAGCATGGACCCTGCTGCTCAGGACATGACTTTCATTGACTTTATTTCTGGTCTACCGATAAAACCCAACCCAACCCAATACCATCAAAGTGGCTTCTGACATCCAGATGCTCTGTCAGGTTTCCGGGGCTGAAAATCTTTATGGAAGAGACTGAGGAGCGTCTGGTAGGTTCGAACCACTCACCCTTCAGTTCCCAGCCCAGATGTAAGTATCTGTGCTTCTGAGAGGCCTGGCCTGCCTGCCGCAGCCCGTGAGTCGCGTGTGCTTTGGGGCTGGGATGAAGGCTGTCCAGCCTCGTCTGCTGTCCTCCTTTCCTCCTCTGCTGCTCACTCTCCAGCTCTTCCTTCCAGGACTTCCTGGCCGGCTCTGAGCTCAGCTTCTGGTGCCACTCACCCTGACTCTTCCCATGGTCCAGCTGCATCTACTCGGCAGCCAGATGGGCCTGGAGCACACCTCGGCCACCTGTTTAGTTCCAGGTCCTACCTGTCTGTCTGCGTCCTTCTCTCTGGACTTCTCCCAGCCAGGATCCATGACTGAAATCCTCCTTGTATGTTTGTTTTTCATCCTCTCCCTCCCAGCTCCTTCCTTTTGTTGACACGAAGAGAGTTTTTTCAAAATGACAAATGGGTTTTACACACCTGTCTTGCTCCTCGTGGAGGGGACGGCTTCTCAAAGCAGCGTCAGCTGGCACCAGCCTCCAAGTATAACTGACTGTGCTGCCCTGGGGACCTCGAACACCCCAGGTGGGAGCCTTCAGACAAGAGAGGAGGACCTTGGTTTCTCACAGATCAGGAGCCTGTGTGCGGGACACAAACTGAGGGGCAGTGCTGTCAGCCCTGGGGTGACCCTCACCTGGGTCAGCTCCTGTTCAACTTGGCTCTCAGCCCTCATCCTGGGCATCTGTCTCCCCATTCCCGCTTTGTCACGTCTCAGAGGGGCCCACACAGGGCACACCCTATGTTGCTAAAGCCTCATTAACCTACAAAGACCATTGTGTTTCCAAACAGGTTCAGGGACCAGGATTCTGACACATATTTCAGGACACAGTTTAATTCCTAACATTCTACCCTTGGTCCTGCAGAATCGTTGCCTCTCCCACACGCAAAAAATGGATGCAGCCTACCTCAGCAGCCCCTGCTAGCATCCACGCCAGCTCATCCCATTTCTGTATGTGTTGAGTCAGATGTGGGCAAGGCCCTGGGTGGAGCCCATCCAGGACAGAAGGCCCCTCTGTCTGTGGGCCTGGGGAGCCTAGAACACAGGCCCCCCCCACTTCCACAGGACAAGGGCATGATCGGCACGTGGCTTGCATTACCAGCCCAAAGTAAAGAGGTCAGAGGAAAGGGAGACTCTTGGGCACCAAGCAGGTCATCAGCCAAGAAGGAGAAGGAAAAACAGTCCCCCTTTTCACCTGGACGTGAGCTCACCCCACGGCCACACCAGACCTCTGAGGAATCCTAACAGGAAGGACAGCTCGGCTCGGCACAGCCACCGCCGCCCACGTCCAGCCGAACTACAGACCTATGAGGAACCGTAAGAGGAGGGACAGCACAGCTCGGCAATGGCCACCGTGCTGACCCCAGGGCCCACGTCCAGCCGAACAACAGACCTATGAGAAATCCTAACAGGAGGGACAGCACGGCTCGGCACGGCTACCGCCGCCCACGTCCAGCAGAACTACAGACCTATGAGGAACTGTAAGAGGAGGGACAGCACGGCTCGGCAGTGGCCACCGTGCTGACCCCACGGCCCACGTCCAGGCATACAGCAGACCTCTAAGCAGCCACAGCACCAGGGCCGCTGTCTGGTCTGTTAGGCTGACGCCCAGGTACCCTCTGTTCCCCGAGAGCCCTCGCCACTCTGCCCATGCCACCTGTACATAGACAGCTGCAGTCCCTGCGTCAGCCCGGCTCCCCAGGGCTTCCCCTCCTGGGCTGACCCTCTACTGTTCCCAGCCCAATCTCTCTGTCCAGGAAACGACCTGCTCCCGATAACACACCTAAAGTCGGTGAGGCACAGTGTCTTTCTGCTTGCTTTGAAACAGCACACTCTCTGCGCGTCTTACAAGAAAGATTTGTTATAGGTCAGCCTGTTACAGAGCAATTTCTTATAGAACAAGTTCATTGAACTGTGTAAGGTCAAGAGGGCAGCCTTGGAAGGGCTAGAACGTGGGAACAGGAGCGCGTGGGGAGAGCACTGTCGCAAAATAAGGCGTACGTGCACGACTTGCTGGGTGAAACCACTGCCCCTCACCTCACCTCACACCACCAAGTTCAAAGGTAGCCCCTGCTCTCAGAGTCAGGTGGTGGCTCGGCCCCGACCCCAGGCGTTGGACCTGCTCTCATCTCCACAAGACTCACCCAGCTACAAACAAGAATTGCATTCCTGAAGACACCGGCTGAGACACAGAAGGGCGTTCCACCAGCCCGCAGCTGGTGTGACTTACACAGTTCCGTGTGGTTAGTAGAATATTTCCTAGACCCATGAATGGGGACCAGGGCTCATCTGCAGAGAGGAAATGACTCCAAGCTTTGAAATGCTCGTTTCATTCCTAAAAGTCAGCACCACACGTTTTATCTGCTACTTTATTTACAAAATTCAAATACAAATTTGAACAAATTCTTTCCATTTCCCTCACCCCCCCCATTAAATTATACAACCCAATGATTAATCCCCTCCTCCCCCTGCACATCCACACAGCTCTGCTTCCAGCCTCTCCCACCCCCTCCTGGATCCTTATACTCCTTCTACAATAACATCTTTTACAATATCTGTCCTTGTGGGACTGAATTAGTTCACTCAGCATAATGCTCTCCAGTCCCTCCCAAGTTAGGTAATAATTTACAAAGTTATTACTGGCCACGTGTACTTCTGAGAGAAGAGGGTGTGGAGCCCCCAGAAGCCCGACAGGTGTTTGTGGACACCTTCGTGCTGGCGTGCCACGGAGCAAGGACACTTGACGGGCTTGTGAGCTGCCGTTGACCTAGGGACAAGGGTGGAGAGCTCGCCCCGTCCGGTGCCATCTTTGCACCCACGCGCAAGGCCGCTGTTGAGGTCACAGCAGTCTGTCTTGTTGAGGGTCTTCCTCTTCTGCTGACTCTATTTTTAGTGACAACTTGACTCTTTCCTGCGGTGAACTTTGGTGGCCTGGTGGTAAGAAGCTGTGCTGCTGACCCAAAGGCCTGGGGTTTGAATCCAGCAGCTGCTCCTCAGGAGGACGGGCAGTCTCCTCCCACGCCGCTCACCGCCTCCAAAAACCCGCAGAGGGTCAGCTAGGAGTCGATATAGACTTGACTGTATCTAACAGTAACTTCATGATGCTGCCTATTTCTCCAATGGTGAGAATATTTTGTTGGGTTTTTTTAACTGTAATTTTAGTGAAAATTTACACAGAGATTGGTTTTCATTCACTCATTCACACATATTTTCTTTCCTCCCCTCTTTGTGATGTCTGTCCTGTTCTGATTGTTGTCTGTCTACATACAATGCTTCATTGTCCATTCCTTTCAGGTTGTCCTTCCTGCACCTTTTCCAGTGCGGTGGTCCTTATCTGCCCCTCCTATCCTTGCTCTCCCGACCCTGTTACACATCTTATTGTGATCACAGTGGCCTTCTGCAGTATTTGTTTTGTTTTCCTGAAGTTGAGATACAAT